GGGATGGTCTAGACAGTATTTGGTCCTGCCATGCGGGCAGGGGACTGGACTGGATGACCTCTCGAGGTCCCTTCCAGTCCTAGAATCTATGAATCTATGAATCCTGTGCTCAGCTCCCTGGATCTCACAATGTGGCTGCTGAGTGGCTGAAGGTGGGGAAAGAGCAGCATTCGGTAGCTGTCCAAGTCCTCCTCAACAGTAGAAGACACTCCACCAGGATGGCCTATTCAGTGAAATGGAAGCGATTTTTGGTGTGGTCATTAGCCCACAGAATCCAACCGTGGCTGGTCTCTATCCAGGACATTTTGAAATACCTGCTGCACCTTCAGTCACTGCAGCCTGCATTCGGTTAATCGAAAGCACGTCTGGCAGCAGTATCAGCATTTCATCCCCCCATTCAGGGAAGATCTGTCTTCTCCAGTGCCATGGTAGCAAGATTCTTAAAATTGCTCCTTCGTCTACATCCCCCGGTCCGAGAGCGGGTTCCTCTGTGGGACTTTAACTCCATCTTAGCGACCTTAATGGGACCTCCCTTTCAGCCCCTGGCATCTTGTCCCTTTCCACTTTTGTGTCAGAAAACTGCATTCCTAGTAGCAAGGACCTCCACAAGGTGAGCATGAGCGTTGCAGGCTCTGATGGCAGAGCCTCCTTATACACAATTCTCCAAAGACAACGTGACTTTACGACCACATCCAACATTTCTGTCTAAAGTGGCTTCTCAGTTTCATTGGAACCAGGCGGTACGTCTGTTCTTTCCTAAGCTGCATTCATCTCCGGAGCAGCAACGTCTCCATACTGTAGATGTCTAGTCTTCTGTCTGGACTGGACTAAACCGTTTCATGCTTTGTCTGCCCGTTTGTGTTATATGCAGATCAGATGAAGGGTCAGGTGATCTCTTCACAGACGATCTCCGAATGGATAACACTCTGCATCAAGACAGCATATGAAATAGCTTCAGCTCTGCCCCCCTCAGTAGGTGTGAGCTCACGCTACTCGGGTGCAAGCAATGCCCATAGCCTTCCTCAGTGACGGTCCATATTGGACGTTAGCAGGGCGGCTACGTGGTCGTTGATACGTAGGTTCACAAACCATTACGCCATAACTGCATCTTCCAGGGTGGAGGCAGGCTTTGGTAGGCTTAGGTAGACTCCGAGCCCTGCCTCCTGGGGGCGTGGGGGGAGGTACTGCTTGTGAGTACGCATCCGCATCTGCTCGAAGACGACGAAACGGTTACTTACAGTAACTGTGGTTCTTTGAGATGTGATGCAGGTGTGTTTTCCACAACCCACCCTCCATCCCCTCTGCATTGGGCTCTCGGGTCCTGGCATTCGGTCTGAAGGAACTGAGGGAGGGTAGCCAGGGGAGGGGCTATGGCCACAAGGCGTGAGCGTTGCCCCCTACGGGTACTGCTAGGCAAATTTCTCCAGCTATGAACCACAGTTACAGTAAGTAACCATTTCATACCGGTCGTCCTGCCTAGTGATGCCACAGAGGAACAGCGATACATTCACCATCCTAGGACCTCGCGGCTTGGGCTGGGAGCGGTGTGGTGTTTGCCTCACGTCCTTCTGCAGAGACCACCCATCTGTTTGATTAATCCTGCTAATAGGGGACCTCACTAGGGCCGGACTGGTGGTGGCCTTGGGGGGGTGGGATGAGGGAAAGAGCCCGGTCCCAGGACACGTCCAGGGAGAGGCTGGGACCAGGCCACTCTCTGAGACTCTCCTCTGCCATCTGAGCTGCATGAGTGGGCCTGTGGGGGAGGGGAGTCCCCCAGCCGTGTTCCTACACCTGCCTCCTCCGGCCCCTTCCAGAGGCCATAGGAGGAAGGGAAGGTAGCGCCTCCAGAGAGGGCGAGCCCTTGCCAGGGACTAAGGGAGGCACTGCTCAGGGAGCACAGGGGCTGGAAATGGCAAAGCAGCTACACTGTGAATGGATGGGCTGTGGGCCTGGCACTGGCTGGACCCCTCTCCTCGGATGCAGTAGCACCCCAGATCTAGACCAGTTCCCCCTCCATGCCATGACCGATACTAATGTGTGTCTTTCTCCTTTGCTCGTAGGACGACATGATGGAGGATACTCCCCTCTCCCTCTACAGCTACTAGGCAGCAAGAGGACCCTCCATCCAGGTTTGGGGGAGCGCTGGAGTTCCCTGAGCAGTAGGCCCCTGAGGACCTGGTCCAGGAAGATCCCCTGAGGATGGGGGGAAGGCGGCTCTGATTTTGCACTTGACTGAAACACTCATTGCAGATGGGTGGGTTGGTTTGTTTTAAAAACTTTTGTAAAAGTTTGGTTTTAAAGTTTATTCTGAGAGCTGGAGCCAGTTAGATCCCAGCACTGGCCCGTCCCTCTGCTCTCCGTACGCCGAGGGTCCTAAGCCTCCTCAAAATGCCGAGGAGATGGGAGAGGGGCTTTTCACCTTGCATTTTAGCCTGAGGGCCGAGCTGATGTTTTGCCGACTCGCTTGGACGTCTCAGAAGCTGCTGCTCTCAAAATGCGCCTTGTGTCAGGAAATGCAGTGTCAGTCCTCACAAGGCAAGCAAAGGAGAATGTTACTTCCCACTGGGAGACGAGGGCGGGGAGCAGACTGGCTCCCTCTTGCTTTGTGTTTTTTTGCACGTTGTTCCTATTTCAACTTCAGCAGTGGGATCCACTCCTGAATTCCCAGAGAATCTAGCAGGACTGTGGTAAACTGCAATCCCCTCCTTGCCGCCCAGAAAAACAGCCCCCTGGCTACGGGAGGAGAATGTGCCCCTGGGGGTGGGGGTGAGCGGGAGGTTTTTCATCACGCTGGGAGGGAACCAACATAACTGGGGCTTGTGTGGCCTTGTCTTGGGTGGGACTCTCCTGTCTGACTCAAAAGAAAACAAAATCCCTGGTTCTCTCCCTCGAGGCAGCAGTACAAGCCTAAACCATTCCCCGCAGGCAGGCTCTCCCGTGGTCGCCTCAGTGTGGGAAGGGAACTTCTCCCGGGTATCAAAGAGTCGCTTGCTGCACTTAGTACCTTCTCTGGCGGCTGCCCTGCGCCATGACTTCCCTCCCCAGTACTGCGATCTGGGAGCTCCTTAGTTCACTATCGAAATAGCCTTGCCAAGGCTGCTTGGTGGCTCTCAAGGGCACTTTATGCCCTGCACCCCCGAACTAGCCTTTGCCATTGTTTTGTGCCTTGTCCCTCCAGTGTGTTGGGTTTGGAGGTCAAGAAATGCTGCTTCTCTGCTTCTGAAGTCCCTCGAACAGTCCCAGCGGCTGCCAGCTCTGCCCCTGCATCTCCTGGGAGCCTTTGTGGCTTCATAATAAGCAAACAAACAGGAGTGGGTCTAGAGGCAGCCAGCTGCCTTTGGGGTCCCTAGGGACAGACGTTAGCGTGTTGGGCAGGATGCGTCTCGTCCATGTGTGCAGCTGGAGAGAGGCTGTGTGGTTTTTTTCTGTTCTGTGTTACCACCTGTCCCCATTCTCCAACACACACACACTGGGGTTTCTCGCTTCCCATACAGTGGCTCCTGCCTGTTTCTACTTCCTATCTTGTTACGCCTTCTGAAGGCTCCTTGGGGGTCCCTCTCAGCTGTGCCTGGGACCTGGGCAACGGTTGGCAAGGTCTCGCTGTGGGATAGTTGGTATCATACAAAAGCCTTGGTTTTCTCAGGTCTCAGCCTGTCGTCTTGGCAGCTGGTGCTTGTGCTCCCTCAGGCCAGCAAAGTCTGGGGGAGTTGTGGGCAGTCAGCATCTCTTCCGGCGAGGCCCCCGCCCCATGAAGTCGCACCGTTTTCACAGCCATGCGATGCCCACATTAGCTTTCGGGAGGGCCTAGTCTCCCACCAGCAGGGCATAGATAAGTCCTATCCTTGGCTGTAATGGAGATTACTCGGGCCATGCAGCTGGAGAACTGGTCGTCTGGAACCAGGGCAGACGAGCTGGAGAAGGTGACTTCCCCACTCCCTGCATTGCTCTGTGGCTTTGGGAGGAGCTGGTGAAGAGATCATGCAGTAGTTAGGGTTTTCCTGTTGGCTGTAGACTTGGGTCTGTTGCCTGTGATGAGACACCCCCAAAAGTAACTGCAGGAGGGAGTGTAATAGATTTTTTCCCCCCTCTCGTGTGAAAATTAGAGGGCAGTTTTCACAGGCACCAAACTCCCAAGTCGGAACCACAGAAATTTCACTCATGCTGCAGCCTTGTTTCCCCGGCTGGAGGGCAGGGTGCTGCCAATTTTTGGCAGCAACAGATGCACAGACAGTGCTGATGGAAATAGCGGAACTTCCTCCTGGCTGAACCTGGCGCAAGGGTGTCAGTGGAGCTGTTGTTGCCGGAACGAGCCGCTCTACACACAGCTTGAAGGGAGAGGACTGACTGTCTCTGCCCCCCAGGGG